TCATCCCATCCCAGAGCCAGTTACTTTTTTGGCCAGGAGACTAAGTACCCTGAGCTACAAACTGTTTCTTGGTTTCTCCTGACACAGAGTGACCAGACTGTCACAGCCCTGTCAACTCAGAGGGCCTGCTTGGAGACTGACCATACCCCTGAGGTTACAGCCTGACTGGCAAAGGCTGCAAGGCCACACTGTATTCAAAAATCATCAACAGAGATGCCCATGTCCTCAGCATGTGAGGAAGGGCTAAAGGAATACTTACAATCATGTCCTCATGGGAAGTGTCCACAGTGTTAATTACTGACACCTAAAACCAAAGATATTGTTGGTAAATGAACTGATGGTAGTTAGAATGCAATCATCTCGTTAAATCCACCGATCACTTTTAAAGTTCTTGACAGCATCTGATCATTCATTCATTCATTCAGTAAACATTCACTCTAAGTGCCTTCGCTGCACCAAGCACTGTGCCAGGGACTGGAGACACAGACACAGAAGAGAGGTACTTCTTGCCCCAGAGAAGCCTCTATGGAAGCAACCCCAACAAGGCAGAATGAATATTTTCATGGGGTTAGGATGTGCAATAGCAGTCTGAAGGGCTGGTGGTGGTGGACAAAAACTGGGGCTCTGATGAGGAGGAATTTGGCAGGTGGCTTCCCTGGTAGCTTAAGAGGGTAAAGAATCTGCCTGCAATGTGGGAGACCCAGGTTCAATCCCTGGGCCAGGGAAGATACTCTGGAGAAGGGCATGGCAACCCACTCCAGTATTCTAGCCTGGAGAATTCCATGGACAGAGAAGCTTGCGGCCTACAGTCCATAGGGTTGCAAAGAGTTGGGCAAGACTTGAGTGACTAACACATGGGGGAAAAAGTACAGTCCACGAAGAGGGAATAACATGAGCAAAGATCGGGGATGGTGGCATGGGAGGTCCTGGCTATGCTTGAGGGTGAAGAGGGACTCCAAGGGAGCTACAGCTGGACTATGGAGCATCAGAGGACAGAGCCTCTGATGTTCCAGGCAGTTTCTTGCATAACAAGATTTTCACCTGAAGACTTTGATTAACTGATTCAATTGATTCTCTTGAGGCTTCTCCCTGGTCCACCACCTGTGACAGAGTCCAGTTCGCAGGGCTGGAGTATAGTTACCATGGTCATCACCTTCATATCCATTCTCTGAGGTTCAGCTCAAATTATGACCACACCCCGCCCCCCAACACTGGGTCTTGAAGATTCCCAGATTTCCCAACTGGCCAAACTCCTCTGAATGTCAACACTGAATGTCTAGATGCTTCCTTCTCCCAAATAGAAGGCAAGCTCTCCAGAGCCAGGGTTGGAGTCAATGACAGTTCTGAATGCTCGCAAATCACCCAGCACAGTGTTTTGCAACCAGAAGGAACTCAGTGTCTATCTGCTAAATGAATAAGTCAATGAACAAAAATGGACAATTTGACTATGTTCCACCACTAGTCTCTCAAAACTCTTGGGATAGAAAAGAGACTGAAAAGGAGGTTTCAGACTAGAAGTGATACTTCTTACCATCTCCCCCATTTCATCTTTTCCCAGCACTAGTCCTGCAGGTTTAAAACCTGACCTGACTTTTCAGAAAGGAGGACACTGGAAGAGGATGGCTGCAAAGCAGTGCAAAAGGGGAACATCAAGTAAACACAAATTCTCTCATCAAAGTCTAGACGCCCTAGAAAGCAGGCCCCTGAGATCTGCAAAGGCAAGAAAGGAAGATAAAGAGAAGCATCTCCTACGTGTGCCAAGCTGCCCGGGTTATAAAGTGCTTTCAGGTGTGCACTAGGAAAGCTGAAGGGTACAGTTCACAGCTAGCCGACTAAGGAGATGAAGCCCAGAGAAGAGGAAACAGCTGCTATTAATAATTTCTAGCCCACAAAGCTTTCCACTCCACTAGGCTGCCTATCTAGCTGTTACATCCAATTGCCTAAGTTAATGGCCCAATGCTAAGTACATGAAGAAAGAAAATTTACTGGTAGTTTCATACTAGTTCATCAGAGGACCTTGAAGATTACCAGCATTTTATTTTGAACCACTCTCACTCACCAACCAGGACTGATGAATAAGTGCCTGGTTCTTTTTTCAAGCTACTTAAAAAAAAAATGTTCATCCTCCAGAGCACCTCAAGTTGTCTGGTCTTCACTGGGTAGGTAGTAAAAGAGAGCACTCAAAACAATTCACTCTTCAGAACTACTGACTTAAAACCTCATTTTTTAAAAAAGCTGAATGTCACGGCATAAGCGACTCCAACTCTACTCAGTACCTTAAAAGGCCAAGAAAAAACCCCAAGAAACTTACAACCCATTCTCCTGCAGAGCAAGGAGCAAACCCAGCGTCCTGACGTGTGGGCTCACCCAGCTTTCCTCAAAAACCTAGGCACAGACATTTCCCCGAGAACACTGGCTTAACAGAATCGACTTCACGGGGCTGTGGGCAGGCTGAGATTAGGAACAGTGCTTGGATCCTGCTAGGGCTCAGAATATAGCGGCTTCTACGGTGTTTGGGATTTTATTTTCAATTGTTGCGGGAGGAGAAGTAAAGGAAGGAGCAGGAGACGCGGCAGCTCGGCTGTCCGCAGAGTTCTGAGAGGTTCCGCGGCCTCCCTCTGACCACCCCCTAGAGCCACCCCACCTCAAACCCGAAGCGGTGCGGGAGAACTGTACGGCCCCAGAATGGGGCTCGAACTTCAGCGCGGCGAGGACCCGAGAAGGCGGCGACCCCGACCCCAACACTCACCATGGTTGTAGCGGCTTCAGGACTCAGACGTGGCAGGACCCGGCGTCGCCTCGGAACAGCTCACTTCCGGCGTCGGGCTGAAAGCCCGTCGGGTCCGGACGCCGGAGCCTCCGGGCAGCAGCGAGCTCCGCTCGCACAAGCGTTCCGTCCTCTCCTGAGCGCCACGGCCCCTCCCCTTCTCCGTGCGTCGACCGCGAGACCAAAACGGAGTGGGACTCTCGTTTCCATGGCGACCCAGACTCGGGACTTCTAATCTGAAGCTTTAGCCCGTCTTCCCTCGCGACCAAACCCTTCCCTTTTCCTGAGATCTACACAGGAAAAAAAGGGACTCCTAAGGAACGTCTCTGAGGTTCTGGGTACAACGGGCCTTACGATGAACATTTTAGGATGATTAATTTGGGGGGTAGTGGCCAGACTGGTCCTTGTTCTTCCTTGTTAGTGTCTCCTCAGGACCCAAGCTGGGACCAGGGGCAAAGAAACCCAGCAGATAAGCCCCTTGCCGGGAGCTGAGCCTCTCTTTCTTCCGGCCTTCTCGAAGCACAGAGGATCCATGCCTCTGAAACCGCCTTTTCCATCACGGCTCTGGGATCCTGTGAATCTGGCCCACCGGCTAGATGCCCAGGCAAGGAGGGATCTCAGCCCGACTCCTGCAGCTGGATCCCAGGATCCAATCGCCAGTTTCCCCAACCCCTAGGCCCCTGGCTTCTCACCTGCACAGCGAGAATGCTGTAGCTGGACAGAGCCCCTGGGGGGGTTCCCCTCAGCCCACACGGTCTGGCAGCCCTGGGCTTCTCATGGCTTTTTAGGAGTTCAGTGACCCAGGATGGAACCTAGACTCCCCTTGGATGAGTCAGAATCCCTGTTTCCTCTCTTGAAACTGGAGGGAAGTGTCCTAGCAGAAGATGGGCCCTGCTGGAGGGATGATGTTAAGACCCAGAGGGTGTGACAGACCCAAGCCATCAAGGAGCTGGGAGAGGGGCCCAGAGAGTGGGGTCTTACAGAACTCAGGGCTGGACCTCCAGATTGCAGCTCACCCTCCACTCACACCCCCAGCTTTCAAGACCTGCAGTTTCCCTCTAATGGGAAAATATTCCAGGAGTTTGAGGTCTGGTGTTTATGATGGAAAAAAAAAAATGTTGCAAGGAACAAAGAGGGAGGGGCTCTGGGATCTCCTGTTCTTCCAGGGACAGGCCCTGATCTCAGATCTGTAGATGTACCACTGATTCTCTGAGTGATAGAATCATATCGCTTCTGTCTGAGCCCAACTTTCCTTGAGTATAAGATGAGGACAATGACACAGTAGATATAACATAAACACAATGCATGGGGCATAAGGAATTCCCTGGTGTTGGCACTGAAGCTGGAGAGAATGAGGATTTGGGAGAAACAGTGCAACTGTATCCTATTCATTACGGTATTTGCTGGTGGAACTGAAAAGTTTTGAGTGCCAACCCTGGCATCAAGACTGCTAGGTATGAATACTGTAGCCCCTGCTTACTAGGTGGGTACACCCTTCACCTCTCTGAATTGCTGTCTCTTCTTCTGTTAGGTGGAAACTAATAAAACCTTCTGTAGAAGGTTGATGTTGGGAGTAAATTCACCTTTGGATGTAAAGCTGGGTTTGGGTTTGGAAGCCGACTGGGCCTGCGGTGCTTGTTCTGAGAGTCAGTCTTCCCTGAGAAGAGCTGGGATTGTGTCTGCATGTGTGCACGTGCGACCTTCAGACTTTGAGGCAACACTGGGACTGTCTCTTGAGCTGGGCCTGTTCCTGTTCTTTGCTGATGTTCACCAGAGGTGTGCAAAGCTCAGACTCTTAGTATGCCAGGCTCCCTTCTGCATCCCCCTGTCCTCAGGAGGGGATGACACCTACATCCTTTGTCCATATCTCCCATCACCTCCCTCTGGTTAATCCCAGACCCCAAGTCAGGCCACTGTTAGCTTTCCTTGTTTGGTGCCCTGACCCTCTAGAACTTGAATCTCAACCTCTTTGTCCTCCTGAGGTCTCTTCCCCCAAAAGTCTGGCCATCTGGGATTGTCAGTTATTCCTCATGGAGGGTTCATGACTCACGGAACACTGAACTTGCCTCCTTCAAATGGTACAGGAAGGCGCGACTCAGTGGAAGGAGAGAGACTGCCCCTGCCCTGCGCACCCTCAGGCAAACTGCCTTTCCCTTCCCTCTGAGTTCAAGTCCACGGAGGGCGGGGACCCAGCCATCCCTCGGAAAAAGGCCTTGTGATGTGTACCGTGTCTACATTTCCACGTGTGCATTTATTGTTATTGCTCAGTATAGTGTTGAAAAGGCAGACAAATCCCATTAGTTACAAAGAGCACAAGCCAGAGATACAGAGAAATCAGGAGTGTACAATAAGAGCACAGTCACTTCCCAGCCCCGATTGTCCCAGAGCGCCCGAGCCCGGGCAGCTCAGGAAGCTGGAGGCGGCACCATTTCCTTGCTTACTCCGGTATAAAATATGTGCACACAAGAGTTAGCAAAGTGTGGCGACCGACCCTCCCGAGAGGAAAGGTCGGGAGGGAGAGCACCACAGGCGTTACAAGACTTGGGGGAGCCGTGAAGGGCGGTCCCAAAGCAGCCTTAAATATCTTGTTTTCGTTGGAGGGGGTGATGGCTGATGCCCAGGGCTTGGGATTCCCCCTCCCCTACTTGGGTGGACAGGATCTTTATGTCAAAATCAGGAGAGCTCGCTTTGGAACTTGAGAAAGACCTGGGGATTTCCCGCTATTGTTTGATTTTGGCCTTGGCTTTGGAGGACCCAAAAACCTTCAGAGAAATGCAGCCCATCCCCCACCCCCACCCCTTCTAATGGTGGGATCTTGGGGCCCATTGGAGAGAGTTTGGGGTTGGGAGGCGTGTCACAGTGTACTTATTTGACAGCCTCCTGCAAGTAGAGCAAGAACCACTAGGGGGAGTCAGGGTGGTGAGAAGGTCCAGGCAAGAAACGGCTACACGCCGGGGGACCTATCTCAGACCTGCTGAAAACTCAATAAAGAGCAAGGGGTGACCCCCTCCCCACAACAACAGCCCAGGAAAAGGAGCCAGGAATAAACATCTCTCCATGAGGAGAATTGGCAAGTGGGATACACATTCTGGTAGCTCTGAGTCTGGGAGAGAACCTTCTTTCTCCGCTGGACTGGGGTGGATGGAGGGTCCACCCCATCACAGCCAAGATGGGTGATTTGGGGGCCCACACTGATATTGGCTGGGGGCTCCGTGGCCTCTCCTGACAACACCCTGGCTCAGGGGACAGGTGAGATGATGGGAGGAGTATCAGGCTTCCCTCAAGATCTAGGATGCCCTTCTTTTTTCTCCTTAACGGGGTCTCTATTTAGTGAGCTGGAGTGGACAGTGCTTACAATGGCGGCATGATGTTTGCACCTATGATGAAAGGGCCCAGTATTTGGGGTGAGAGGAGGGCAGGAGGGCGGAGGACTCGGCAACATTTTAAGTTTACTTGGAAGAACAGACGTGAAAGAATAACCAGGAAATTTTGTTAAAAAAAAATGCACGAAGGGTATTTGTCCCACCACATAATAAAAACATCATATAAAGTGACAATAATTAAAACTAGGTGGCTAGTCAGATGAGACACCCTGATGAGGGAACAGAGGCGAAATTCCAGAAATAGATGCAAGTCTCTCTAAGCTGTCAGGGTGCGGTAAAGGGGGAATTTCCACACAGTGGAGGAAGGGTGGCCGTTCCATCACTGGGCTGCCTGGGCTGAGACAGGTCCCGGATCCTCGCCCCAGTGCAGTCACCGCCGTTGGTCTGTGCTCAGAAGCAGGGACCTCTGTTTCTTGTCGGCTCTCTGCTCTGGCTGGGACATGGGGAGAAGGGGCCACGGGGGTGGGGTGGGGGCTGGTGGGAGCAACCCAGGCTGCTGCTGAGTTAGGAAGGAAGGTCTTCAGTTTCCTCCCTGTCCACCTCCAAAGGTGGGTGGCTCACTGAATGGGCCCGCTGCTCGTCCCTCATCTGTGGAGGGGGAGACAGATTGGTGAGCGTAGACCTCAGAACCGAGTCTGCTACCTCCTCCTGGAACCCCGTCCAGAGGGCAGACAGGAATCTAAGAGGATGGTGCAGTCCCTGACCAGTTAAAAAAAAAGTATATATTACAGAGTATATAGTCACTGTGTTCTGTTTGATGTTTTTTGCCTTTTTTTTTTCCTTTTAAGACCACAGACATTTCAGAACCACACTGCAGGAGTAAGAAGAGACAGCAACTGAAAGCATCACCATTGCATAGTAGTAAATGAACAGAGATGGTGAGTTCTTTATTTACAATTATTGTCTAGATTAAAAAAATTCATAAAAACAGATGAATGGTCATAAATTATTTACCCCCTAATGGGGTTAACTGCCAAACGTACCCCATGCTGCTAGATATAGGACGCCGAGTGCAAGCTTTATGTACTACAGTGAGTTCTGACAAACCAGTCATTTCCTCTGTGTGTGTGTGTGTGTGTGTGTAAGTGTGAGGGCAAGGGTATGAGTGTGTATGTGTGTGTGGGCATCCATCATTCCTGACAAGAAAAGACCAGCACTGATGTGGGGGCATTCTAGCTTCGGTGGCTCCCTACTCTCCCTGGAGCTGAGCCCCGCTCTGGGAGACCCCCTCCTGCTCCCCTTGCGTCCTGGCTGCAAATGAGCAGGAGGCCTCATGTGTGAGCCGGGCTTTCCTGGTGTCATGGAATGCGGTCACGGACACACGGTCGGAACACAGGGGGAGATGGAGAACCTCGAAAAAGGAAACTACAAGAAACAACAGAAAACGAAAAACACACCACGTTCCAAAGCTGCCCCAGGTTCTACAGGAGCAGGTCTTTCTCTAAGGAGAGCAGTGGGCGGTGTGGGCGGTGTTGGTCTTGGAATCCAATAAACACATCTGAGGGCTGGTCACCGCTTCGGGGGACGCAGTTCCCTCTGCTGGCTACATTCAGAGATGATGCTTCTCGACATTCAGGAGATGCTCTTGCTCAAAAAAGGTCCTCCTTCCAGGAAGGTCTTGCCAGGTGGGATGGGCTGTCTCGGGATCCCAAACCCTCGGGTTTCTCCACAGCCGTCCAGACGCATGCCCTCCCAGCTGACTATGGCTCTTTTCCCGAGTGGCTCTCAATCTTGTTTGTGGAAGAATTCTCTGGGCCTGGAGAAGGGAGGGGCCCGGGCTGACACAGAGCAACCGTGGGAAGGGTCAATATGAAGAATGCATTTTGCAAGCGAGGCGGGAAGCGTTTTGGTTTTCCTTGAAGCATGGGACATCATCGGTCATGGTATTCAAAATGTCTTTTGCACTGTACAAGTTTATGGAAAAAGATCGTATGCTGAAAAGTCTCAAAGCAAACTTTGTATTCAATACAAAAGTTCTTTTATGAAAAAAGCTGATACCCACAAAGTGCTTAGCAGTTAAGAGGCTGACATACAATTAAATAAGCTCTTATTAAGTGGGATTACTAGTGCTGTTATTGTCTCAGGGGCGGGGGAGAAATAACCACCTTTTCTCACCTGTGATATGCAGGGTTTCAGAATGGCTTTCTGCCTGGGAAAGCAAGACTTGCTGTTCAAAGGCTATAGTATATATTGCGACTACAGGAAGACGATTTGGTTTAAAAAAAATCACACTGAATACATCTCAATATACACATCATAAGGTTCGTTCGGATCTAAGTAGTGCAGAGAAAAAGGCTATTCTTCTTCAAAAATAAAAATAAAAGCAGCAAGCCTTAATGATCCTCATCCAATATGCCAACAGCATATTTGCTGCAATCTATGAGGAAATAAGCCTCTAAATTACTAACCGAAAAAAGAAAAAATCAACAAAACAGCATTTATAATATTGCCTCACTACCTCAGTCTGCACAGACAGCGCCAGAGGGAACCTCTGTTGGAAGTGCTCTTAGTAAACTCAAGTGAGTTTCATTGAGAGAAGGTCTTCACTCAGTGCTTTGCGGACCCCGTGGCCCTGGGGCCGGCCGGCCACCAGTCAGTCCTTGGAGCCCACGAAGACTTCTCTCCTCCTCCCCCTTTGTCTACGGAGCGCGCTGTTGGACTGCTCGGGATGGATCCCTGCTCACATTTGACTCCTGCCTCCCACGGTAGTGACATTATCCAACAGAAACAGCAAGCCAGAAAAAAAAAAAAAAATAATCAGAGCATGGCTATCGTAAAACATCGAGGATGCAATCCAGGGAGGTGTCTGCCAGGCTGAGCTGTTTTTATAGCATCTCAGCCACCAGTGTTCTTAAACCATACAAATAGCCGAAGACGTTATCTACAGGTTTGTAAACAAATTACATTCTTCTTTTAGGACATAAATAAGTTAAAATAGAGCAATTTAAGCGGAAACAAGGCAACATGCCGGCAAAAAAATTTTATATATCCATTATATATATTTATATATATATATATCTACCTATCTATATGGACGTATACAGTCTCAGAGAAGTATACGTTGATATAGATACAAAGAAATGGATATAACCTTGTGAGTGTCTGAAGTTCTTCGGTTCCATTGGTGCAAATTTACCAGGCGAGTTAAGCTCTGCAATTTCAAAAAGTTGTGAAATTAACCTGTACAACTGAGACCATGCTACAGCAAGCATCTCAAAAACTTCACAGACCAGTGGATTGGATAAATAGTCTCAGAAAAGAGTCTGTTTTGCAGTTCCCGCCTAAGAAACAAAAGAAAAAACAAAACCCCTCCCCAACCCCCCAAAAACCAAACTAGGGGAGGACCGGAAGTATGCAGTACATTCATGCAGGGATGCGGCTGGCGCTGGGCTGGGGGCAGGGCTGGTCCACGTCAGGCGGGAGCCAAGAAGGGCTAGTTCTGGGAAAACCCCCACTCACTCCCTTTAGCCCCGCTCCCCACGAGATCCCGCCCTCGCCTCAAGGTGAAAAAGAGTTCAAACAGCATCGCAGCCAGAAAAAAAAGGGTCTGCTGGGTGGAATCGGTTTTCTCGCCAGTGTTTGTTTTTGTTTTCTTCCTGCCGTTGCTCGCTGCGGCTTGGGTCAGTCAGGTGCCCGGATGGGTGGCTGCCCGGGTGGGGGCGGGGTGTGGTGTGGCGGCGGGGTGGGGGTGGGTCCTCAGCTAAAGCGACGTCTCCAGGCTGTGGATGGGGCTCCCTGGACTTGAAGAGGTAGCTGATTTGCTTGTGTCGGTCGTCAGGTTGATCCCGCTGTCGATGGCGCTGTTGTTCTTGTTGAGCGACGAGGGCGGGCTCGAGTTCTGTTTGAGCGCGGCATCTTCTTCCAGGTCGGTGTCGTCGATGAGGGGGATGTGGGGCTGCGAGTCTTCGATCCGGAACTCAGGGTGAGCCATGAAGTTATGGATGGAGGTTCGAGACTCAGGCTTTTCTAGACCTTCATAGAGAGAGCTACGAAACGCCTTCACGACGCGGATCTGCAAGGGAAGGGCCGCGGTGAGGCGCACCTCCGCGGGAACGAGGGGGCGGGGCACAGCGGGCGGCTGGAATCCACGGCGTCGGGAGCGCGGACGGGAGCGGGAAGAATGGAGGGAGGAGGGGGCTGAGGTTCTGTGCATCCGAGAGGTGTTTTTTGTTTGTTTTTACTTGCTCGGTTTGGGGACAGACTACAGTATTAGGACAGAAGGAAGGAAGCCCCGCCGTAGAGACGATGGGGAGCAGTGGTTAGAGGAAGCTTAGTCCACTCCAGTGGGCACCCAGACCTAGTGAGAGACTGAGCCTTGTTAACTGGAAATTAGAGCTTCGACCATGCAGAAGGGTAGCGGGGCCAGGTGGGAATCAAGGAGGAAGAAGGAGAGAGGCTATTTGTAAAAAAAAAAAAAAGAGAGAGAGAGAGAATTCATCTTAGAAAAACCACACACCGTTAAGGAACCAGAGACATGGAACAGATAACGCATCACACACACACAAGGAACAGAGAGGAGAGATGGCTGGGTGAGCCGGGATGAGAGGGGGGACACACGAGGGCCAAACAGAGAAGGGGGACATCGAACCAAAGCAGCAAAGCAAACCGAAGCCAACTCGGGGCTTTCTGGGGTGCAGCAGAGGCAGCCAGAAAGCGCGGAGGAGCCGGCGGCCGATGACATTCGGGGCTCGGGAGCATGCTGCGGTGGGGGGACGAGAACCACACAGCACACACAGACAGACACACGGCTACACTTGGAAGCCTGCACAATGTGAACGGAGGTCATTTGTACCCAACGCTTCTTTCCTTCATGCATTTGGGAGGTAAACACTCGAGTATAGACTCAAAGCCCTGGCCAGTCATTGGAGTTGGCTTTGGGGTTCCTGATTTCCTGCGGTTTTTTTTTTTTTTCCTTTCTTTCTTTATTTGTGCTTTGAAAACACAAAACCGAAAAATGAGGCCAGAATCAGAGGAGCCCACTCAGCCCCTGGGTAGGATTCTAAGAGGGTTCGGAACTAAGCCACAGGACAGCCAAGTTCTTTCATTGTCTGGGTCTCAGTTGGAAGCTGGGTTCACTGCAGAACGGAAGAAGGCCGGACAGGGAGGCGTCCGGGCTGTGCCACTTCTGGCGCCTTGACTGCGGGCCAAGGCGAGCCACGCCACCAGGCTGGCTGCCCCCTGTCCTGCCTCACAGGGGGCACAGGAACGGGACCCTCACTTTGAAGAGGGGCGTCCTGTCTCTGAACTCCTGGGAGGGGAGCCCTGCCTGCCATGGTGAGGGGCCAATGGGACAGAAGCGCCTCCTCCTCTCTTCCCAGCCCCCACTCAGAGCGGAGCCAGCAGGCGGGGAGAAACAGGCATCTATGATGCCTCGGGGAGCCGAGCCAGAGCAGAGGAGGGGGGGGTGCTGACCTGGACAGCTCTACCTTCCTGCCCCCCTATATCACAGGCCTGGGGGTGTGTGGGAAGGCCCTCCCGGTCCCGGGATTTGTGGCACTAAACCCAGGTTGGTGGGGTGTGTGGTGGGAAAGCCCTGTCCATGGAAGTGAATTTTCATGATGACTGTGGCTGATGGTTTTAAGTGTCACAGCTCAGGGTTTACGCGACTATTTCAGAGAGGAGTCTCGGCAAGACACGTCGTAAGCGCCTCCACCTTCTAATTTAGAGAACACAGAGAATTTGTCAGTGAGCCCTCTTCATTTTGTGTAAGACTCCAAAGTTTGGATTTTTAAAAAAATTTTTCTCCTGTGCTGCCAGCCATCACTTGCTAGCTCTGACTCTTCCTCATCTTCTCTAAACCACCTCTGTCCCTGGTCCTTCTTATGTGCTGTTGGGCCGGGGATTCTGGGGAAACCTGCCTGCCTGGTGGGACCCTGCTTTCAGTAAAAGGCACTGGGCGCTAAGCAAGAGCCAGCCGGACACCACGCGTTAGTGCTGGCCCTCCGTGATGGCCACGTGGCTGTTCAGAGACGTCTTTCTCCCTGGATACCTGTGGCTCTGCAGAGATTATGCAGTATTCTGACCTCCTGATAACTGGGCCATTACTCCATTGGTTAAGTGAAAACAACAAAAAAGAGGTTGCAGGCCTCAGTCTTCCTAACTGTATAATGGGGACGCTAATGACTGCTGTAGCTGCCCAGCCCCGTGCCCGGAGTGTTCAGAGGCTGAGCTGCAGAGACGCCAGCCGGGCAGCGCCTGGTGAGGAGAGGGGATGGTGGCAGGACCCTGTCGTGGGACTGACAACGCGGAGGGGACGACACACAATGAGATGCAGGCCCCTCGCCCTCCCCCTGGAATGGAGACAACAGAAAGAATGAACTGCTCTGGACAAAGACTGTGGGGACAAGACTTTCCGGGACACCCCGCCACGGCCGTTTCAAGTCTCCACTGCGGATCTCTCGTGGCTGAAATGGAAAAGAGTATGGGAAGAAAAAAAGCTCTTCCGTCTCCCCTTCCCTGATTGCCCTGGGGATGGGCCTTTGCTGGCGTGAGCCGCCCTGGGACGTGGGGTGAGGGGGGAAGAGAGGAAGGGTCTGGGGTCTTCAGATGTTTTGGTTTTATCAGCACAAAGGGGGCAGGGAGGGGGGGTGTGCTAAAGGAAATGTATAGGTCCCCCCGTCTGGGGTGGGTTGGACATACTCGAATGTTTACCCGGCTTCAAGGAAGCCAAGAGTCTGGGGTTGATTCACATTCATTTCAGGCTCAAGGTTAAAGACTCACAACCTCTTTTAATTTCACTCTCTCTTGCTGAACTCTGTGTCCAGGGTTCTCTAGCCCTCTAGGGAAACAAACACATGGAATATTCAGACAGTGGAGAGGTCTGGGCTCCCCCCCACCACCAACCAGAAGCAAGCCATTTTCTCACCAACCCAAGGTTGCACTAAATTAGTTACCAGGATGCTAATGAGAGCTCTGGCTTCCTTTCCTTCCCTTCTCCTTCATCCCCCGCCTAAGAGATGCAGTCCTCATCCTAGCAGTCCTTAGAACCTGGAATCTGAAGGGGGCTGGGAGGGGGCCTGCCCTCTCTAGACTGGGAAGGCATGGGGAAAGTGGCCGGTACGGGGTTAGGAGTCTGATTCTCTGGGCCTGGTTGGTTCAAAGGAACAGGACCTTCACTCATGAACGTGGCACATGCTACGAACTTGCTAACTGTGAAGCCGGCCTGAGATGGGTTAGGAATTTGTGGGAATAAGAGAGAGGAGCCATGGAGGTTGGCCTTGGATCCTAAAGCTGAATGCTAACTCTGTTCCTGATCACTGATGGGCAGACGCCCCCGCCTCAGTCGCTGCCAGGCTGATGGAAATCTCAAGAGGAGAAACAGCTTCCCTGGCCCCCTGGACCCCAAAGCACTGGCTCCTTTTCACTGCATGTGGCTGTGGGCGTGGACACTGGTTCCACCATGGAAATTCAACCTCTGTGGGCTTGTCTGGTGAGTGGTGTGGGTGGTGGGGAAAATGGGGGACTCTGGAGTCAGATCTCTTGTCACTTACGTGCTGTGTGATCTTGGCCAAGTCAGGCCACTTCTCTGAGCCTCAGAGACTCGCTCACTTAAATGGAGGTATTGGCAGATCCTGCCTCTTTGCACTTCAGTTGTGAGGTACATGTGGAGTGGAGGATGTGAGCAAGTGCTGTGGAAAATGGTGGGTGAGGCTGAAGTATTAGGGGTGTGCCATTAAGTTTCTGGGTGAAAAACTCGCTTTTGAGTGGGTCGGAAGAGGAAAGCGAGGTTGTGGGCCAGCGTTTCCTCCTGATCATTCGAATGTCAGTCTGACCACACTGTCTGGTCACCGCAGGGCATCTGTCTGCTGGGGGCCCTCCGTCTCACAGTGGTGCTGGGGGAGGGACGTGTGACTTGCTGGGGGTGTTCCAGAAGTCAGCCTTGCACACCCAGCCCTGCCCTAGGCCTCTGTGGTCACTTCTGATAGCGCAGGGGACCATGGTTGGGACTCCTTCCAAGGTTGGATGGCATCACTGACTCAATGGACATGAGTCTGAGCAAGCTCCGGGAGATGGTGAAGAACAGGGAAGCCTGGGGTGCTGCAGTCCATGGGGTCACAGAGTCGGACATGACTGAACAACAGCAAAGGTACAGAAAGCCCAGGTGTTTTTTTGACTCAGCAGGCACCCTCCTTTACCCAGAATCCTGGGAGGAAGATCCTGCTCGGAGGAGGTAGGGGTAGCCCATCTCTCCATCCACCCAATGTGGGGCCCTGCTTCCTGGCCACATGCTTCACACCCTGTGGGAAGAAAGCCTCTGTGCTGCTGGAGGGACCTGCCTGGTACCCAGGGGGCTCCTGGAGTCCCTGGAGATGGGAGGAGGCGACATGGCTATAGAAACTATTCAAGCAAAGGAGAAACTCAGGGGTATATATTTAGAGTCATGACTGTGTTGACCCAAATCTGTGTGTTGAGACCACAAAGGCTTTAATCCCTTTTGGAACAAGTACTCTCGTGCAGGGGGATGGCCAGGCTCTTTTTGGAGACCTGATGCCCAAGAAAAGGTCCCAGCACGGACCCAGAGTCACAGGCTGGATTCTGCAATCACAGGTAGGAATGCAAGACCCCTAAGGAGGCATGATGCCTGGAGAGATGCAGGATGGTGCTTGGGTGAGGGAATCATGCTTGAGTAGCCCCCTTAGGGTCCTTTGAGAAAATGATGGGTCATGGGCAAGACCTGAAGGCTCCTTCTCAAATGCTGTTCCAAAGCTGGGTCACCTCATGGGGTAAAGGGATCAACCTGGCCTGAAAGGAAGCTGGCTTAGAGAAAGGGAGCGAAGGGCAGGCGGAGATGGGCGTTTCTCTGAAGGGAAAGTGTTGAGAACCAATTGGCCCAGGACTGGCCTTACTGAGTGGTTTTATAAAGAACAGAAGAAAGGACTCGAGACGACTGCACTCTTTCCTCGAGATGTGAGAGCTAAGATGCGAGGCTCAACCAAGGGAGATATTGCGGGGTGGCCAGGAGCTCTGGGAGCTCCGTGCTGGTCAGGACGAGTGGGGCGCCATGCTTCAAGAAAGAGACCGTGCCAGGGAGGACAAGGCCTGGACCTGGAGGCCGCCCCCTGGCAGTCAGACCGCCTGGAGGGACGCAGGAGGGACGTGGGAATGGAGGGAAAGGGGCTCTTCCCCACTGGCTGTCCAGCCCTGAGCATTTCTGGTCTCCATGCTCGGAGACAGGAGGCACTGCTGAGCAAGGCCACGGCTTGGCTGATGCGGGAGTAGGGCCGATGGGTGCGGGCCTCCCGCTGAGGTGGGGCCTCTCTGGTGTGAAGGGCGAGAGTGTGGGATCAAAGTGCCTCCTGCCCAGAGAGAGCCTGGCACTGGCTTCCGGTGACAAGGCCTCCTGGAAGCAAGGCTCAGGCACCATCTGCTCAAGTGGCCCCACTTCCCCTGGGCGCCTCTGGTTTCCCCATCGCTGCGTTTTCATGCTGATAAACCAGCAGTTTTGCCTCATTTCTGCATGCCTCCTGTCATCTTGCGGCCTGGCGGGGCTGCACCCACGGAAAGGTCCGGGGGACACACCGCCGATGGTGCCCCGTGACTTGCGCTTCCTGCCTGAGGGCCTGGACGGCATTGTGCCCGCCCAGCACGCGGTCCTCTCTTGCTTGGTGGCAGAGGACGTGTGTTTTGGGTGTTCTGTGTTTAGAAGAGGATAGAGGCCCCTTATAAACTACAAGAGATGAGGCCTGGAGTCTCATGAAAGAGGCCCGAGTGCTGGGAGTTGGCACACAACCTGAGAGGACCAGACTGCAGCTCCCCTGTGGTTTGGGAGGGGCTGACTGGGAAGGGAGGCAGGTGGTAAACAGAATCTTCTTGTGCCCTCTGGGGCCTGAGGCCACTAGGGGTTCAGAAAGATCTAGACAAGGCCAGAGATGAGTGACCTTGGGCGAAAGCCGTGGTATAAGGAGATGAGCTCGTGGGAGGAAGCTGACGGAGAGGCTGAGTCCCAGGCTGCCCTTCTGATGAGGAAGGAGGAAGCCGAGGGTCAGGCCAGGTCCACGAGCCTGCCGGCAGCCAGCCTGGATGAGACCCCCGCAGTTCTCTACTGAGGTCAAGTGGAGTGGGGTCACGAGCCTTGTCCCTTCCAGGGAGGGCTCAGGCCTTCACTGTGCTCCAAGCCCTGCTGCAGGGAGAAGAGGGTTCGAGGCAGCCGGGGCTGTCAGATGTACAGGGGGAGAGGACGGAGGGGCTGCCCGACGGGGCACAGGGCCTCGGGCTGCGGTCCCCGTGGGGGCCCGGGTCCCCTGACCGACTGTGGTCCCTGACCTACAGTGCTCCCTTTGGGTGGGCCTCGCTGTGGCTGACCATGACCCCCGACAGCCTTTCCTCCCTTGACCCACAGTGACCCTCGGCCTGACTTTGACTGCAGACTGTGGTCTCCTGGCCGACTCTGACCCTCATAAGTCAGGCTTTTCCTGACCCTACACTGATTGGGACTCCTCATGCCCCCCCCAGCTGACTGCACCCCCACTTGGCCTCCATGACCCTGTGGGTGACTGTGACCATTCGATCACTGAAACCTCCCTGAGTGCTGGTGATCCTTTGACTGACCCAGACTTTCTGACCACTCGTGACCCTCCTGACCCCACGATGGCCTGGTCCATAACCCCTGACCCTGACCCACCAAGGGACTGCCACCCCGTGCCTGGCTGTGGTCGGCTGATCATCTGGGACCCTTCTCCTCAATGGCCGGGGCCCCTCAGCTCCCTGGACCTAACCACGAGCGGCTGGCTGCCCCCCGGCCCCTGCCCGCCTGCCCGCGTGGCGCTGGCGGCGGCGGCTCCCGAGGCGGTAAGGGGTCACACTCACGCCCAGCTGCAGCAGGAGGAAGGCTGGTCGGAGAGGAAAGAGCATTGGACAACGACACGCGACTAGGGCTAGAGAGATTGGCTACGTCCTGGCTCTGGCTGGTGACGGAGGATTGTCTCCGCAGGGCCCCCTGAAAGGAGGCCCCGCTCTTGAAAGTATTGACTACTTCAATCTGCAACGGAGGAGAGAACGAGACAAGTTGCGAAGAGAACGGACACGACAGCTTCACGACTGACAGGCGCCACGCCACGAGGACAGCCGCAGCCACGGCAAGACGACACACCACTTACACCAAGACGACAATACCAGACACGTCCAAGGCTCGAGAGATGTCTGCTCAGTCGGGCACCTGGGCTTCCCGGGGCCCGGGGAGAGTGGGGAGACACAGGGCCCGGCAGCAGCACCGCTCTAGCGGCCTGGGGGCCGGTGGGCTGGGGGCAGGGCTGGGGGGATGTTAAACGTGGGGTTTGCAGGCAGAGGGGGTGCTCAGCTCCTGGGACCAGGCGTGGAGCCGGAGTGGTGTGGAGGGGACTCCGGGGAGGACCGCCCTTGGCCCAGATACCTGCTCTGTCACGTTCGAGCTAGGTGACCTTGGACAGGTCACTGCCCGGAGGCAGTTTCTTGTCCTTCAGAAGGGGCAATGCCGCCAAACTGCCTGGCAGGGCTAAGCTGTGAGGGACAAAGCGCTGACCCACTTAGTGGTCCGTAAGAGTCAGGCTGGACGGAACTCGTGTCCACTCAAGAAACTACAGTCCTTGGAGTCCTCCTGAAGGGCTTGGCGGCCGAGTTGGGTGTCAGCACCAGGGCTCTGTATGACAGCTGCCAGCCCTTGTGGGCAGTGGGGGGCCGAGGGCCATCAAGAGGGCTAGTTCAGAGCCTGCAATGCTGGCCATCAGGAGGCTCTGGGTCTGCAAGATCCTCCCTGCACCCAGTGCTCACAAAGGGCTGTCTCCCAAGTGTCAGTTACCCCTAAAGCTAGGTGGGGGGCTGGAAAGGCCCAGGAGATGTTTGGGACAGCGCCTTGTGCAGGGTGAGGCAGCCCAGGAGATCTGTTTGTGTTGTGAATGGGTGGAAACGCAGTGCTTGGCCACGCGGGGCTGTGGGCTGAGGTGGGGGCCCCTGACATGCTTCCCAGCGGGTGAGGGGGTGGGGTGGGGTGGGGCGCCATGACCTTCCCAGGCCGGCTGGGCAGATCGCCCCACTCTTGGTTTCTTGGTCCCTTTGTTCTTCGCCCTGCAGGGCTGTGAAAGCACCCTGGGAACTGCAACGCTGACCCAGGGAGCGCGACCCCGTGAGAGCGTGGGGACCACACCTTCTTGGCGTGTCTCCCCTGGTGGGAGGCTCTGTTCTGGGGAAGAAATCTGCTCTTGGCTGGACACACATCCCGCACCAGTGCTCAGCATGTGTGTCCTTGCAGTGTGTGTTTTAAAACTGAACTTTGTTCCCCCTAGAACGGACTCAACGCCCTGAAGCTCCACCGCCCTCCCCCCGCCCCAGGAGGAAGCTGTGTGTGCAAGTGCAGAAGAGCTGGGCTCAGCGCTGACCCCCTGGCCGGGAGAATCTGGGGCCCGCCCTGGCCTCAAGCGTCCATCCCGGCCTCACCGGGCTTCACCCTCCTGGTGGCCGCCCGGCAGCCCTGATCCACCCTCCCCCAACAGCCCTGAAAGGAACCCCCAACTCACCTGGGCCCTCAGAGCCAGCCCTCTCCCACTGCAGGGCCACCCCTCCCCCCAAAGTCCACAGTGGGCGTGACCCTGGTGTGACCCCATCGCCCAGTGGTCGAGGAGGTAGGAGGAGGTAGGACATTCCCTCACACAGCCAGGCAGAGTGCTCTCGGGGCACTTTCGTGGGCCCAGGCTGATCAGGTGGGATCTGGGCCCACCCCCTCATCTCCGTCCCCGCCCACCCGGCCCCGGGAGCCGCGGTACCTGGGTCTGGATCCGGTTCAGACCTCGGAACCACAGGATCTGGCCCCGCCGCAGCTCGCGCTCTGCGTGGTCTATCTCCTCCACGTCCTCGTTGAGCTCCTCCTCGGGGATCTCCTCCTTCTGCGTGAGCCTGCCCGCCTCCTTGAGGAACTTGAGCCTGCTGGTCGGGATGGTGGCGATGACCTGCGGGGGGGCCCCAGCCGTCAGTGTCAGCCGAGGGGGCCAGCCGCTCCCTCCCTTCCCTCTGGCTTCTGTCACTCACTCACCCAGTTCCCATCAACTCGCTCCTTAGCTCACCTCCCCCCTTCCTCAACCCAATCTTTAGATTTCCTTCTAATTCCCTGGATCCTCCAGAGTCAGCGGGACATGGTGGGAAATCTTGGGAGCTGGACACACGCGTGACTTGACTACCCCAGACCTCACTGGTCAGGCGACCTTGGGCGAGTCATGCAGCCTCTCTGAGCTCTAGCTTTCCCTTCTGGAAAGCTGGGGGCAGTTCTCAAAGCTGGAGATGGTGTGTCTAAGTCGCTGGCTTATTCTTCCTGAGGTCCCTGGGGTGCCCAATCCTGGGCAACAGGGCCTCGGAACTTAGGTGCCTGGGGGCAGTCAATGCTGGGAGACTCTTGGAACGTTTGCCCTCCTGGAAGGGAAGGCGATATGGGAGGGGGCTTTGTCTTCATTCTTACTCTTCCTCCAAAGGGCTTGTCCATGGGGCTGAGGCCTGAGTGGTAGGCCCTATGGGGTAACTTAGGTAGCTGGGGTCAGAGGCCCCTTACATCTCCTTTAGGGACAGAGAGGGGCTGGTCTGGACACTCTCAGGGGTTCCCTGGGAATCTGAGGTGGCATCATCCTTAGGGGTCAGGAACCAGCTCGTCCAGATGCCAAGGGCTCCCTGAGGGAGCGGGCCCCCATGAGACAAAGATGTCCAGGCTCAAGGGTGCCCCGGGAATGGGCTTGCTAAGTCAAATCTAGTTTATCAACTCCCCAAAGACACTCTGAAGTTTAAAGATTATTTTGAGTGAAACTAAAGTTCCTTCTTGACCTTCTAGTTAATTTCTGTCACTGGAATTCCCCACTTTAGCCTGGAAACAGCTTGAAGGCAAGACCAATGTCTTAGGTCTGCTGGGGCCCCTCCGCCTAGGTCCAGATACCATGTCCTCCGAGCTGCAAGCTGTGAGTTCGCGACGGTGCATGTGTGTGGCTAGTGGGGGAACGTTCTGGGGAGGATCCAGCCCAGGGCTCCCCAGAGCTGGGGGGGGTCACGGATGGCTGCAGAGGCTGCGCCTCTCGCATCCCCTCGGAGCTCTGCAGAACGCCTGAGACACCCTTTGCAACTGGCCGCCCCAGGCTCTGAGCCTTGGCTGGCCGTGACATCTACTTAGAGTTTAATAACGTTGGTCTGTTACTTTTTTTTTTTAATCAGCTTCTGTTTATGACAAATAATACTTATTTTTCAATCGTATCAGTAATATAAGTTGCCTTTTGAAATAAATTTCAGTTAAAAAACCAGACAGGATTAAGAGAAAATATCAAATAACAGGATCAGCAGTATATGTGTGTGTGCTTGTGTGCTCAGCCGCTTAAGTCGTGTCTGACTCTTTCAGACTCCATGGACTGTATGTAGCCCACCGGCCAGGTTTCTCTGTCCATGGGATTCTCCAGGCAAGAAGACTAGAGTGGGTTGCCATGCCCTCCTCCAGATCTTCCCGACCCAGGGACTGGCATCTATCTGCGCCGGCAGGTGTGTTCTTTACCACCACCTGGGAAGCCCCTCAGGCGGGTATATAGATGGAAGCAAAAATCATAGTGGCGATACCCACATGACCACCATGTGAGACCAGGGTCAACCCCCGCTGCTCCAGCCCCCAGAAATGGGGGCCAGACAGCTAATCCTTGCAGGAGCCAGGACCTGCGGGTGAGGATCCCGGACTCCCCCAGCCAGTGCTCTCTCCGGAGCGTCCCGGCCGAGAGGCCCCTCCTGCACCGCCCACCCCCAGCACTCACCTGGCCCCAGACGAGCTCTCCTAACCCAATGAATATGCACCACATCCACTGGTCCAGCTGCAGTGGGGAGCAGCTGAATGGCTTCCCCCCAAACTGCACGATCACTATCTGGAGAGGAAGAGGAGAGAGAGAGACAGAAAGGCCATCAGGGGCCAGCTCAGAGGTCTGGGCTCCCAGGGCATTGCCGAGGGGCTCCGGCTGCCCACTGATGCCCCCCCACCAGCCAGGCCAGTGTGGGGGCCTGGTACCTGGATGGCAAAGGTGCCCAGCACAATGGTGCAGAAGATGGGGTTCCGGAAGATGCCGTCGAAGACGTTGCGCTCGCCATGGATCTTGCGGGCGTTGATCTCGTTGAAGAGCTGCATCATGACGAAGGTGTTGAAGATGATGGTGTAGTGCTCGGAGGGCGGTGAGTGCAGGGGTGCGTTCCTCCCGCTGTCGATCTGGAACATCTTCTCGCCTGCCAAGTCGAGAGAGGGCGGGAGCCAGGCTGAGGGTCGGGACTTGGGGGGGACGCCTGGCCCTGTGGGGGAGATGCCTGGCCCTGTGGGGGGGCCTCTTGTGAGCAGCCAGGAGGGTCAGCCAGATGCGGGAGGTGCTCTCTGGACACTGGGGGGCCAGGTGGGCCTGCGCCATGGGGTGTAAATGAAGGGGTAACAGTACCCTTTCTCCTCTAGGGCTCAAGTGCCTTGGGTGGACTTTGTTCCACTTTTTTGAGGAAATCTGATAAAGGCCGTGGGCCAGCTGTGCTTCCGGGCAACAGGGCTTATAAAAAACAGCCCCTGGTTGGCAAACTCATCTGGCCTGGGAGGACGGGGAGTGACCTCGGAACATCTGGCGGGAGGCCTTGGCTTTCTGTGCTCGTGTTGTTTCTCAGTTACTCAGTCGTGTCCGACTCTCTGGGACCCTATGGACTATAGCCGCCAGGCTCCTCTGTCCTTGGAATTCTCCAGGCAAGAATACTGGAGAGGGTAGCCATTCCCTTCTCTAGGGGATCTTCTTGACCCAGGGATTGAACCCAGATCTCCGGCATTGCAGGCAGATTCTTTACTGTCTGAGCCACCACGGAAGCCATAGCTTTGGGTTCCCCCCAAAAGTGTGGCTGCCTGTAACTGAGAATGTCCTTGCGGAGACCTCTGGGAGCTCAAGGGGCTGTTACAAGAGAGATCGGTTCCTACATGGATGCTGAGCCTCCCAGGTCAGGCTGGCTCCAGACCCACCCAGGTGGCCTCATTCTTTGAGGGGGCTGTCACGTGGTGGGGGCAGCACAGCTCCCTGTTGCTCTGCGGACACCACCCATGGCATGCCTGATGCCATCCTGTGTCCTTTGCAAAGCTGCAAAAGGTGCAAGCTGGTGCTGGGAGGGCTTGTGGTGTTTTCTGATGGTGAGAGTCTAGCTGAATCCAGAAGCACCCAGAGCAGATGCTGAAGTGGGGGAGCCAGCAAGTAAACCAGGGGCCTTCTCCACCTTTCTTCCCCAACCGACAGCTTTCTCTGCGAGTCTCTCCTAACTCTGCATTCCCGAACATCCTCTAAGGCTTCTCAGGATCATCTTTACAACTGTCCTGCCAGCACAACAAACAAGAACTACCCTTTGAAAAATGGGCTCACGCCCCAACCCCATCCAGGCTCGCTGGTGTTGAAAGTCCAGCTCAGGGATCTGGGGAATCCCACTGGCCCCAACTTGTTGTGTGACCCTGGGCCACCATCTGCCTGGCTCTGGGCCTCTCCAGGTGCCGGGGGTCGACTTTGCCCGGATCACCTTGGAAGCACCCTGGAAGCCAGGCCAGTGTGAGTTCCAGCCAGGTCTCTTCTCAGCCCAGGTGCCCCCTCAGGCTGGCTGCATGTCCTTGGGCAAGTCACCTCCCCTCTCTGTCCCTGGTGCCTCATTGTCATGGGGGTGGTCGCACAGGTGCCCAAGAAAAGTATGGCTTATAGGCAGGTGTGTGGCTCTTTCCCAGGGAGGCCTTGGTGAGGAGCCTTCCACACGGGGCAAGGGTCAAGTGTGGGAGCGATGAGAGCAGGGGCCGGTCACTCCCACTAGTGTCTTGGGCTTCTGGGGGGCCGGCATGAAGCCCCACCTTACACAGTGTGTACACAGTGTCCAGAGCTGTCAGTGGAAAAAACCCAGGCCTTGGGGTTTCCAGACCTGGGCCAGGGCCCGGCTCTACCCAGATTCGCTGTGTGACCCCAAGCCACTAACTTCACCTCTCTGGGCCTCCATTACCTCCTCAGCAAACAGGCGGGCGACTGGGAGTCCAGAGCGGCCGGGTCTGGGCCATGGAGTCCTGGGTGGGCAAGGCAGGGGACTCACCGACGAAGAGCAGGGTGAAGATGAGGGTGAGCTGGTAGACGGCATGGCCCAGGATGTTCTTCATCATGGTCCGAGAGATGAGGGGCTTGTTGCGGCCGTACGGCTTCCTCAGGAGCAGCGTCTCGGTGGGCGGCTCAGTGGCCAGCGCCAGGGAGGCGAATGTGTCCATGATGAGGTTCACCCAGAGCATCTGCACGGCCTTCAGGGGGGAGTCCTGGGGACCGTGGGTGAGAGAGTAGTGATAAATATCTCCTAGGTATTTATGATGGGAGGTTGGCCACCCACCGCCCTGATGTGCCTGGCGTGGGGCTCATGGCCAGGGTGTAAGCAGCTTCCCTTGAGGCCAGCTCTGCCACTGTGGCCGGCCCACCCCAGGGTTCCAGAGTGGGTGCTGAGTAGGTTTGCGAGGCCTTCCGTGGAGAACCACCCAGCCCTATCCTCCATAGCGCTGTCTTCTCCCCCAGGGAGAAAATCAAACCCTGGGCATCACGGCCACCACTCCCACACCCTGTGCTTTGTAAATATAGCCACACTCCCACTATCTTCACCCCTCCCCTCCAGCCCCCACTGGCCATGTCTCTGTTCTAGGCTAAGGCCAAAAGCCCCCACAAGCATCTTCCACACAGACCCCAGCTGCCCTGCTTCCTGCTGCTTCTTTCCCCTCAACCATCAATGAATCAATGACTCTGGCCTCTCCTGTCTCACAAACAGTGCCTGGCACCCTGTCCCCTTTTCACTACCATCCAATTTCTCTTTACCACCACTCAATTTCTCTTCACCTTTTACCTTTACTTGAAGCAAGTACTGTATGTCTCAATAACTCCACACACACACACAAAAAATGTTTTCCAGGTAGAGACTTTGGGCAAGTAAGGCACAGAGGAAGCCAAACTTCATCAAGGATCTCACCACTTACGGGCTTCCTGCCATCCACGTTCTGGGGTGGATCCTTCCACGTGTCTCCCTGGCTGAGACCGGGATCACACATCCATACAGTTATGTACACAGTCCTACCATGTGGTCTATGCTGCCTGAAGGTGTGTAGACCCCATGCTTTGTCCCCCATCCTCTCCTCACACCTGCACATCCCCCGAAACACCTTTCCCCGAGGGCAGCAGCACTTCTTGTCACAGATTCAGGCATAATTTTCCAGGTTCGTCTCACTGAACCTTGAGGTATCCGACTGCAGCCTCCACTTTGCAACCTGACCCCTCTCTGGGCACCCTTCTCTCTGACTCCTCCTTTTCCAGCTCCCTCTTCCCCTGCCCTTTAAATTTGTGTTCCCTGTGGCCCATTCCTCAGCCCTACCCCCTGCTACATCAGGGGCACATCACCCTCCCTCCAGCCCAGGCCTGGCCCTGTGGCTTCAGCCTTGCCCACGGGTGGGACACCTCCTCCAGGAAGCCCACAGGCCCTATACACCTAACAGCCTGGGGTGGGCTGTTCCTTGTGCCCTGGTCCTCTCAGCGTGGCTCTGGAGGCCCCACTGCCTGCACCTTGCACCCTCATTCACCTCCTAGATATTTATCACCTCCCCTCCCCCAGGCCACCCCTCCCACCTCCGCGCCAGCTCAGTCATGCTCCCCACTCCCCTCAGCCTCTTCCTGCCTGTCAGCCTCCTCTGATTGCATGCACCTTGGGGTCAGGGCCCCTCTGTCTTCACCAAGGCCTTCACAGCCCTGCCACCAACTCAATCCAAGGCCTCGGGCACACAGTCTCTTTGGACCTCAGTTCCCCGTGTGGCACCAGCGGTCTCCAGGAACCTTGGCGGGAGTGGCTGTTCCTCCCTCAGCCACCACTAGAGGGAGCCCCTCCCCACGGAGCGGGAGGGGAGGGCCTGGCGCGCGGAAGGGACAGCCCCTCCCCACGGAGCGGGAGGGGAGGGCCTGGCGAGCAGAAGGGACAGCCCCTCCCCACGGAGCGGGAGGGGAGGGCCTGGCGAGCAGAAGGGACAGCCCCTCCCCACGGAGCGGGAGGGGAGGGCCTGGCGAGCAGAAGGGACAGCCCCTCCCCACGGAGCGGGAGGGGAGGACCTGGCGAGCAGAAGGGACAGCCCCTCCCCACCGCCGCTCCAGCCGCCTGCACCCAGGGCTCTCAGGGCTGGGGTGTTGGGAGCCGCCCTGTGTGTCCTCAAGGGCTCAGAACACAACAGAGGGAACACCATCCCCTGGGCCACACAGCTCTTCAGGACAGAGGTACAGGTACCAAGAGAGGTCTGTCTAGTCAAAGCTATGGTTTTTCCAGTTTTCCCGTAGTCACGTATGGATGTGAGAGCTGGATCATAAAGAAAGCTGAGCGCCTAAGAAGTGATGCTTTTGAACTGTGGTGGTGAAGAGTCTTGAGAGTCCCTTGGACTGCAAGGAGATCCAACCAGTCCATCCTAAAGGAAATCAGTCCTGAACATCCTTTGGAAGGACTGATGCTGAAGGTGAAACTCCAATACTTTGGCCACCTCATGCGAAGAACTGACTCATTACGAAAGACCCTGATGCTGGGAAAGATTGAGGGCAGGAGAAGGGGACGACAGAGGATGAGATGGTTGGGTGGCATCACCGGCTCAATGGACATGAGCTTGAGTAAACTCCAGGAGTTGGTGATGGACAGGGAGGCCTGGCGTGCTGCAGTCCATGGGGTCGCAAAGAGTCGGACACGACTGAGTGACTGAACTGAACTGAACAGGCACCCCGCGGGCCCCTCTGTCCTCCAGAGCCTCTGGGCTTCTGGGAGCTCCTGTGGGCAGGAGCTTGTCTGCTTACATGGATGCTGGGAGAGGCCTTCCCTCTCCTCCCCAAGTGAGGCTGGTCAGCCCTTGGCCGCAGGGAGGCAGGAGGCTGCGGGAGCAATGGCAGGCGCCTGGCCAGCCCATCCTCTGGGCCTCAGTTTCTGCCTCTGTGAAATGGGGATCAACACAGTCCCCATTGTACGAGGTGGGTGAGGAAGCAGTGAGGCTGTGGGGACTGGCACCTGCCTGCCAGCTCCATGGGGCACGGGACACGGGGCTGCTAGAGACCTGGCTATAAAGGTGTGGCCAGCTCTTGCTCTCCCAGTGACCAAGTCCACCCAGCCCAGGAACCCAGGCACCCGGGCCTTCCCTGATGCACTCCACGCCAGAGCTGGGGCTCCCAGGGCCACGCCAGCTCCATGATGCCAGCTGGCCGCCTGTCTGGTCCCGCCTCTCTCTGGCCCTTTACGTGGCCAGGGGCCCTGCCTTCCTGGAGGGTCACCTCTCCTGCCTCCTGGAATGAGGGCCAGTGTCTCCACTGGCTGGCTGACCTTGGGCTAGTCCTGCCACCTCTCTGAGCCTCCTTTCCTGCACTCTATGTGGCTGGTGCCTACGTGGGTGGCTCTGTGATGTGGTTCCCGGCCCTCGGCTCGGAGCTGTGACAATCTGGGACAGTCCCTGTGGGTGGTGTCCGTCCTCCCCCGGGCTTCAGCTGCTCCACCCCGCCCACCCCTGGAGGACCCACCTGCGTGATGCAGGCACCCGTGAAGGCCACGATCACAGCCACCACATTGACGGTCAGCTGGAACTGCAGGAACTTGGAGATACTATCATAGACGTTGCGGCCCCACATCACTGCCTTGACGATGCTGCTGAAGTTGTCGTCCGTCAGGATGATGTCCGAGGCCTCCTTGGCCACGTCCGTGCCTGCGATGCCCTGTGGGGATGGGGACAGGAGCCTGGGTGGGGCGACCGGAGAGGCAAGCAGCTCTAGCAGCACCGTCCCCACCTCTGACCACCACCCCCCCACACACATGAATCCCCAGCACTGCAGACCACATGGGAGCATGTCTGCCCATGTGGTTGCTGGGAGAAGCCAGGCCTTGGAACATCTGCCCTCTCCTTCCCAAGCGAGGCTGGTCAGCCCTTGGACGCAGGGAGACAGGAGGCTGCCTCTCCCAGTGACGGAGTCTAGTTGGCCCACGAACCCAGGCACCACACGGGACACGGACGTGTGCATACATGCACACCCACACACACACACACACCACCCCTATTCCTCAAGACCCAGCCTTGAGGCCAACCTCTGCCTTCAGGAAGGGGGCCCTTCCACTCTATCCTCTTCCCTCCCCGAGACCCATCACTGCAGGAAGCTCTCTCCTCCTTTCTTGAGGCCAAGCTGAGCCTCAAGACCTCTGGGAGCGTCAGGTGGACAGAGGGTGGGTGGAGTGAGCACTGGGCTTCCTGCGCACCCCCCCTCCGCCGCTGGAGGCTGGTGGTCTGGGCATCCCCTTAACCCCTGCCTGCGGGCTCCTGCCAGCTGCCGCCTTGCCCCCGCGCGCCTACCATGGCGAAGCCCACGTCGGCCTTCTTGAGTGCAGGCCCGTCATTGGTGCCGTCCCCTGTCACGGCCACCACCTGCCGCTGCTCCGTGTGCGTGCTGTCGATGATGCCTGTGGGCGGGGCGGGTGTGTGCTCAGGGCCCTGGGACCCCGGCAGGGCCCCAGGCTGGCACAGCCTCCTCTCTGGCCCCTGCCCTGCCACCGCCTTCCCACGCCCCCCACCCCCGACTCCGTCAAGCTTCATCCCAGCTCCCCGCACCTGCAGGGGACATGGGGCCTGCAACCAACACTCCCTCGTCGGGGCCTGCTGCCTCTCCAGCGTCCTCTTTGCTCTCTGCAGCCCATGGCCACAGCAGTGACCACCCTGGCTGAACTCACTTCCCCTGTCCGAACCCCAGGGGTCTCTCTGTTCTCCAAGGTTTGGCTGGCGGGCCACCCATCTGTTCCCCAGCATCTTCTGCTTGGGGCAGGGGGCCGGTCACACCCTAGGAGGCCTGGGCTCTGCCGTTTGCTAATGACCACTCTCTAGATACTCATCCTTAATAAAACCTTCAGCAAGTAGCAGTGAACAGATGACATATGGCTCTCGTCACTGAGCGAGTGAGGGCCAGAGGAACAGGACGAGTGAAAGACGCCACCTCTGCCCACTGCTCAGGTGGGAGTTACCTGGGTTCGGCGGCTCCTCTATTTCCACCCCCACGAGGCATACAGACACCACCTTTGCCTTCAGCGAGGCCAGCCCTCTCTCCTGAGCCCTGACTCCATGGCCATCTCCACTGGGATGTCAGAAGGCCTCCAGCCCAGCCTCCTAAACCACATGCATCCGTTTCCCCTCAAATCTGCCCCTTTTTGTGCGACTCCCGACACTGAGCTGCCCCTGGTAAACTTCGCAGCAGGCTCCCAGGCAGGAACACACCGAGCGGTCCTGGACTCCCATCTCCCCTCTTCCTCCACCCTATCCGGGCCAGCCCCCCCCCCCCCCAGAGAGTTCTCAGGCCTGCCCACTCCCCACACACCTGCACTGTCACCAGCCCGCCCCCAGCATCCCTTCTCACAGCTGGACCATCCCAGCTTTTCCAGGCCGCTCTCCACTCGGCAGCAGGGAGGGAGATGTCCAAAACACCGCTTCTCCATCACGGCCCTCCTGCAGCTCACCACCTGGGCTAGTAGTGCAGGTCACTGTCGCATGTTCAAGGCCTGTGTGATCTGAGGCTGGGACTCCCTTCTCCAGCCCTTTCCTCTCGTCTCCCTCTCACTGGAGGCCCTGGCCCAGCCAGCTGAACTTCTTCCCACCCCTTGAAAGTGCCTGGAAATCTTCCCCTCTGGACTTTCACAGTGTAGTTCCCTGTCCTGCCTGAAGCACAGGTCGGTCCCCCTGGAGCCCATCCCACCTTCCACAGCCTGCAATCTGACACCATCCCCAGGTGGAGCGAGAGGCCAGCAGGGGGCCCTGGTCAGCCTCCTCTTCCACTGGTGTGGCCTCCGTGCAGGGAAACGACCTAGTCAATGTCTACTGGGTGAGACCTGGCCATGAATTTCAAGAGGGAAGGGCCACGTCGGCCAAGAGATGAGCCTGACACATAGTAGATACTCAGTAAACATTTGTCAAGAGAATGAGTGAATGAATGAATAAGTGATTGAATAAAAAATGGAGCTGGGTTGGGGGGGGTCTCCTGGAGTTCAGGGGCTCAGTGTTTCTAAGGCCAGGTCTGCCTCCATTGAAGTCTTTGGGCAGCACCTTTGGAAGACAACTCTAAGACACCCTACGGCTGACCACAGTCAGAAAACTTCCCCTTGTGGCCATTCAACAGATGGAAAAATTGAGTCCCGGGGTTGGACACTAGCCAAGGCCACAGAGCAGGGCAGGGGGCAGAGCCAGGGATTTAACTCAGGCCTGTGTGACTCTGAAAGTGCCCCGCATCTGGCCAGCGAGATGGGCTCAGCGAGGGGTGTGTCCTCCCCCCGGAGGAAGTCAGGGAAGAAGGACACTGGCTTTGCACCTCCTGTCTCAGATCGCTGTTCCCAGGGCAGCCCATGCCCGGGGTCCTGGTCACACACGTCGGACAGTGTCCTTAGAGACCAGGCAGGCCAAGGCTCTCAGACTCACAGGGTGTGGGGTCAGACTGGGAACATACGCAAAGGAAGGCAGCCGAGTGTCAGACCTAGTGGTTAAGACAGCATCAAATGGGAAAAGCGGGGTCTGTATCCAGTCATTCAAACTGAACATTAGCAAAGACATGCCACCCACATCAGCTCATCGGTGGGCCCCTCAGCCCTCAGCTCCATTGCTGCCCATGGGAAACAGGACCTAGGCCAGAGGCCCACCACCTCCTCATGCCACTGTGGCCCCTGGCAGGCCTCCTAGGGCGTCCCCAGGTCTCAGGAGCCCCAGGCGGGAGCCGCTGCCATCCTGGAAAGAAGCTGAAGGCTCTAGGACAGGGAGGCCCCAGAGGCCTCGTGCCTGGGCCTCAGCACTGTCCGGGCCCCGCCCAAGTCTTACCTTTGACCAGGGTGTGCTTGTCCGTGGGGGAGGAGCGAGCCAGCACCCGCAGCTTTGGCCAGATCTTATCGATCCGCTCCTGCTCGATCTGGAAAGGGATGGGGGAGGGGCAGGTCAGTGGGGTCGAGGAGAGAAACCGAGGCCCAGATAAGGGAGGGGCCTGGCCTAGACCCCTGGGCACTGAGCAGCACACTGGCTGGCTGCTGGAGTGCCATGCATGCCCGTGCCCCCTGGCCCCCCGGCCAAGCCCAGCCCTCCAAGGACCCTCTGCGCTGGGCCACGTACCTCCCCTTTCTCGTTGCGGATCCTTCGGTTGAACTCCTTGCCCTCAAGGCACAGGAAGTCCTCCCCGGGATGGATGATGCCACACTTGATGGCGATGGCCCGCGCCGTGTTGATGTTGTCACCGGTGACCATGCGGACAGTGATGCCTGCTCGCTGGCACTTGCGGATGGCTTCCGGGACCTGGGAGGGAGGGCAGGAGCCATGGAGAGGACGGCACCTCGGGTAGGCCCTCCCTGCCTTCATGGATTCCAGAGCCTGTTCACAGGTAGCACCGCGATAAGGGGTCTAGGTGAACGGGAGATCCTGACGGCACGCAGACCATTTCCTCCCTTCCTATGCCCATGGCAGGCATTGTTAATCGATCCCAGAACACTGATTAAACCCTGATGTGGTCTCACAATCCTTTTCTGCAGTGTCCCTGACAGCCATCACTGATCAAGCATCTTAGGATGACACCATTGACTATTCTGACCTGGACAAGAACTTTAAGAAACACTGCACTAAACACCCTCTTGGATATGGGCCCAAGCAGCAGTACAGAACACTGCACTATTGCACAGGATATTGTCCCTGCTTTATCCACATGCACGTTTCCTGCAAATGCAATGTTAAATACGTTTGTGTACTTTGGGGTTTTTTTGGGGGGGAGGTGGGCAGGGGAAGAACATTGCATTTTAGGGCATATTATTTACATAGTGTGACACTGGTTTAGATAAATGCAAATGATTAGGCTTCATGTGAAACATGACATCTTCCTGGGAGAATAAGGACTGTCTACTGCCCTTGCTGTAATGATAGATTTATATCTTGCCAATTAGGCCAGAGCAAACCCAGAGCAGACCCAGCCAACCACAAGCCAGCAAGCCCCCCAACTCTGCCCTCTAATCCCCACTCCACCCCCACTCCCCACCCCACCTATGCAAAGCTCTGGATCTGTCCGGCAATTAGGATGCAAAAGCCAGCCTGGGAGCTTCCCCGGTGGTCCAGTGGTCACGAATCTGCCTTGTAATGCAGGGGACATGGGTTCAATCCTGGGTCCAGTAAGATTCTACAGGCCACGGAGCAACTAAACGCCTGTACCACGGCTACTGAGCCAGCACTCTAGAGCTAAAGCCCTCGAGTCTCGACGACTGAACCCACACACCCAGAACCCGTGCTCTGCAACAAGCGAAGCCACTGCAGGGAGAAGCCAGCACACCGCAACAGGAGAGTAGCCCCCACTCGCCCCAACTAGAAAGGCAAGCAGCAATGAAGACTCAGTGCGGGCAAAAATAAAATAAATACTAATAAATATTTTAAAAAACCAGCCTGGAGCTGCTGTGGCCCTTTATACACAGCACAGATCAACTGAACAAGTGATTCTTATCCATGGGCTGTGACAAATCGCACAACAGGAAGGCAATATTTGCTGCCAAACATTCTTCAGGGGGAGAGGACATGTTGAGGGCAGAAAACCCAGTTCTACTGAAAGACCGAAGTACTTTAGCATCTCAGACCTGGCAACTGAATCCCACGCCCCTTCCTCTTGCACATCCCGGGTCTGAGAACTGACTTTCACCCCTGCCTCCCCTGACAAGTCGCATCTTTGAGAGAATTCAAAGATGCTGCTGCTGCTGTTCAGTCGCTCAGTCGTGTCTGACTCTTTGCCACTCCATGGACTGTTAGCACACCAGGCTCCTCTGTCCACGGGGTTTCCCAGGCAAGGGATCTAGAGTGGGCGGCCATTTCCTCCTTCAGGGCATCTTTCCGACACAGGCATCGAACTCGTGTCTCTGGCATGGGCAGGCGGATTCTTTACCCCTGCCTGGGAGGCCCTCAACCTGCAGTGCAGGGAGAGACAAACGCCCTGGAGAGGCGGGGCCCAGGTAAAGGCTGGGGAGGCCTCTCCAGCTCCCCGAGTTCGCTAAGAAGCCAGTTCCGGGGTGACAGGTAGTGCTCTCGCAGTCCTCGGAAGGGCTGGAGCGGGACATGCTGACCGTGGGCCGCCGCTGGGTGCGTTTCCAGGGTATGGGCAGGAGCCTTTTGGTGCCACCCAGGGCCTGGGGCCACACGAGCAAGGCCTCTGCTCTGTGCCACGGCGGCTGCTCACGTGACCAGATGTGACCTCTTTTTACAGAGCTGAAGGGAGTGGGGGTGTGGAAGGTCCGAGATCCCGTTTACATAATTTACCGATGTCCTCACGATGGCAGTAACCCGGCTGCAGCCCCCCACTATCTCCTGCCCCAGAGGACATGAAAGAGCCACTGTTCTTTTGGGAAAACATACCTTTATCTGTTTCCAGCCCCAAAAGGAGTAATTTAGGTTTCGTTGTTTCAGAGGCTCTTGGAGTTGGAACGGACTCCAGGTGGTGACTCTGACCCTCTGCTAATTGCCTAGATCCCTTCCCAGGCATCCCCTCTGCTTACATGCCTCTGTTGACAGGGCATTCACCCCTTCTAAGGCCGACTGCCCCACGGTAGAGCAAGTCTATTGTATCCTTTCACAAAATCCTTTTTTTCAGATAAAAGAGTAGTTACACACTGCAGTATTCTTGCCTGGGAAATCTCATGGACAGAGAAACCTGGTGGGCTACAGTCCATGGGGTCACAAAAGAGTCGGATACAACTGAGCGATGGAACAACAACTCTGGGTCAGATGCATTCTCTTGTACAGAGATAGAGTCTTCAGTAAAGATCTGTACAGAAGGTTCTGGAAGCACAGAGGAGGGCACTGTTACTTAAGAAGGAAGTGTGTGGGGAGGGGAAATCTGGGAGAGCTTCCTGGAGGAGGGGGGGGCGGTACTCAAACTGCCTCTTTTTAGCCAACACTAACTAAGGCTTGGATGCTTGGCTCTGTGCCCAGGCTGGGCCTGCAGAGACAGCCACTTCATTGTGGTTCTGGCTTCAGAGAACTGTTCACGAGGCGTGCAGGCAGAGAAAGGGAGGGTGCTGCAGACAGTGTTGCAGGTGATCTGGGGGGGCTGAGGCCGAGGGAGGGTGAGAGGTAGGGGCCAGTCAGTGGCCATGGAGCTGGAGACGGGCTGGAGGCCCAAAGGTCTGGGAACCAGGGCCTCACTCCTTCAGGCCTGGGAGCCATGGCAAGTTCTGAACTGGGAGTGAGGTGATGAGTACCACGTTTTAGAAGGATTTCTGCTTTCAAGATGGTCTCAGGGAGCTGAAATTTGCCTGCGTGGAATCCCTACCATCTGAGCTTCACCCTAACAAGCCAGACTGGGAAAAAAGAAGGAGATTAATTCGTATGGCCCCCATGATTTTCTCTGTGCAGTGGAGGCACCTCTGCTTTGGGGAGAGAGGGCTCAGGGACCAAAAGGCTGAGTTGGGCCTTGCCCGGGCTCCCCACTGAGCCTTGGTTTCCTCATCTGTAAAATGGGACTGTAGTTTCCACACTTCACTGCAGCTGCAGAAATCTGTGACAGGCAAACGGCACCAAGCTCGGGGCCAGCGCATGCTGGTGATGAGGGGGTGGGGGAGGCTGGCGAGACGCCTCACCCCAGGCGTCCCTGTCTGCTGTTTCTGCTCCAGAGGGGTGAAGGGGATGCAGAGCGAGGGTGCAGATGTGGGGGTGGGGTGCCGGGGCACCTGGAGCACGCGGGGGAACAGGTGCTTGGATGGGGTGGGCGCCGCACCATGGCCCTTGGGTCAGGTATATTAGGAGTCTTTGACCTGCCTTGACTCGGGGCGGGGACTGGGGACAGATCTGGAAACCCCTGGCCACCGCGAGATATACTCTGCTTCCTTTCTGAGCAGTGCCCCCCACACTGGACATCCTTGCCGTGTTCAGTCCCGTCTGCTTTCACGCTCTCATGCACCAAGCAAGCATCTACACTTTCCCTCACTCTTCATTTCACTAGGCCGTGGGTCTGCAGGCGGGGCCTGCGGCTGCTCAGAACCCTAGCAGAGGCCTGGGCGCAGGGCAGGCACTCAGTCAGTGAGGGTTATCACGAAACACCTCTGCACTCAAGTCCCTCGAAGGCTGACCCACGTGAGAGGATATGGACGGGCATGTGCAAACCCTCCAGTTCAGCTCCAAGCTCCCTTCTCAACCTGTTCTCTCATAAACTCAACCTGAGGGGGACTTCCATGGTGGTCCAGTGGTTAAGACTTGGCTTTCCAATGCAAGGGGTGTGGGTTCAATCTCTGGTCGGAGAGTTAGGATCCCACATCCTCGTGGCCAAAGAAAACCACCCCCAATCTTAAAACAGAACCAAATTGTAACATTCAATAAAGACCTTAAAAATGGTCTACCTGAAAAAAAAAATTTTTTTTTAAAGGAAAAGCAACCCATCTTGGGTTTTCAAGAGTCTCCAAACACCCAGCATCCTGTCCCACCTCCTTGCCTTTTCCTGTGTGGTCCCCTTCACCAGGGATGCCCTCTCTCCCTGAATCTCTGTGCTCACAGATCTTTTCCATCCTGCACATGAAACGTTCTCCACTCAGGAGCCATCATGGGCCTCTCCACCTCAATGGGACGCCTCCTGCAGCTGCTTAGCCCTTCCTTTGATCACCTCATTCGTTCATTTATGTGACGCACAGCTAAGGAACATCTAACTGTTCTGGGCAGGGAAGATGCAGAGAGGATAAACACTCAAGCCCCAGAGGCATCAATCTGGTTGAAATGTGCTTTCCCCATAGATACAATAGCTGTAAAAAAAAAAAAATCCCTTCTTTCACTAAAATTATCCTCGATATTTCTCGCTGAGGAAAACCAGCCAGGAAATGGGCGCTTCCTGTTTTCATTAAATAAAGGCTTTAAAACATCTGTTGTTTCTGGTGACAGCAGTCGTCTGTGACTCCAAGGGCGCCAAACGCCCCCGGATAACACGGCGAATCTCTAGCCGTGGCTCTCCTGATGGCTTTATCCTCACTGGCTTCCATCGGCCTTGGAAAATGTACTGCGGTTGTGTCTTGGGGGTGGGTGGGTGGTTGGCAAGCCTGTTTTAATCTGTTCTGTCCTTTGTCTTTTCAAGAGAGGAAGGTAATGAGAGTTTCTCCCCCTGACAGATGGGGAAACTGAGGGACGCAGAGTTTCTTTTCCTGCAGCAGCTGCAAACGAATCTGACCAGGCTTGTAGGACCCTAGATGTGGTCCAGGTGGGGCCCTTCACTCCGGCCAGCCTCACGGTTGTCCTGGGAACTTTCACAAACATTCTCACTGTAGGCAGAGACAGTCCTCCCAAAGGTTAGGGTGGGGGCTTCCCAGGTCGAGCTAGTGGTAAAGAACCCACCTGCCGATGCAGGAGGCATAAGAGACGTGGGTTTGATCCCTGGGTGGGGCAGATCCCCTGGAGGAGGGCCCAACAGCCCACTCCAGTATTTTTGCCTGGAGAGTCCTATGGACAGAGGAGCCTGGCAGGCTACAGTCCACGGGGTCACAAAGAGTTGGAGATGACTGAAGCGACCTAGCACGCCCACACGTGACCCTAACCTGAGAAACTGGTGACCGTGGCTGCCTTTGTGGTGGGGACTGCAGGTCGGGGACTGGCATGGAGGCACCTTCACCCTGTCTATGCTGTTGAACCTGCTGAATTTGGCTCCATAAATCACCTAGCCTAAAATACCCAAATAAATCAAAACCCATACCTGCTGGTCTCCTCAGGCCCTGCGTCCCACCCTTGCCTCACAGGAGTTGCTGAGTCGACAGGTGAAGAGGTTCAATACTCTCACTAGTATCGCCAGTAACCCTGCTATGCCCCTCACACATGCATGTCTAACTTCCTCATTGTTCAAATAGGGAAATTGAGGCCCGGGGCAGTGATGTATGGGAGGTCTTATGGGAAGGAGCAGCAGGGGCTGGATGAGAACCCACTTCCCTCCAGTAAGCCCCCTCCTTCCAGCACAGCTCCAGCTTCTAAATCCACATCCCAGAGTGAGCCCGGGGCAGACAGAAGGTCACCACAGGATGTGTTGACTGAGGGTACGCCTCCCTCAGTAGCTTGCTAGTGGCAGAGCTGGGGTTGGGATCAGGCCCCATTCCTCCAGCGTGGGCTAATCGTGCTCCCAGCCCTGCTGGGTGGACAGCATGCATGTGTGCATGCTAAGTAGCTTCAGCTGCACTCGACTTTTCGCGACCTCATGGACTGCAGCCCGCCAGGCTCCTCTGTCCATGGGATTGCCCAGGCAAGAATACCGGAGTGGGTTGCATGCCCTCCTCCAGGGATTCTTCTCAAACCTAGGGATCGAACCTGAGTCTCTTATAGCTCCTGCGTTGGCAGGTGGGTTCTTTACCACTGGCGTCAACCTCGGAAGCCCACACCCCCTCCCAGAGTCTGTGCCTGAAGCCAGCTTCTCTGGATATTCTTTGTGTCAACAGAAAACAGTAGGGACCCCGCTCAGCCCTCTCAGGCCCTCTCTCCTCTTCTTACCCCACTGACTCACAGCTACCTGCCCTCTCATTTTTGTGGCCCCCAGGAGGAGACTCCGGACAGGAAGGCAGGAAATCTGGATTCACTCAGCGAGACTGTGGGCACCTCACTGGCCCTGCTTGGGTCTCCGTGTTTGCTTCTGCAAACTGGGAGTGTGGGAAGGTGTTTGGACTAGGTCAGCCATTCAGACCTTGAGTCTTGCCCCTTTAGTGGATTGTGAAATCAGTTTTGTGGGTGGTGACCAGTGTTTAAAAAAAGAAAGGAAGAGATAGAAGAGAATAGAAAATACCTTAGTGCATCACATTACTTTGTGAGAGTCGTATTTCAGTTTAGTGTGTGTGTTTGCTGAGTCCTGACATAACATGCATTTCTCGTCACTGGGGGTCATGACCAGAAAACAGCATATTGTGTGTGCAATGCTGCTTTCCACCCACTTCAGTGTGATGAGGCAGGAGCTCGGGCACGGGGGGCCAGAGGGGACTCTGGGGACGGGAAGGCCCGAGGAGCTGCAGGCCAGCTTTACGCACTGTGCATCTCAGTTGCCTGTAAGGGTATAACACATCACAGCAAAGCCTGATCCCATTAGCAGCTGGTAACGAACAGGCATTCTACCAGGGAGACTGGTAAGTGGCCGTGTGTCCAGGGAGAGATACAGGCTGAAGGCAAATGCATAGGGCTCTGGTGCCAAGCCCCAGAGGCACTAACTGCCTTTGCTATTTTAGGCTCTCAGTGGGAGGAAGGAGGCATGTGTGTGTGTGTCCAGAATACTATTATTATCTCCAGTCTTTGGATGAGGAAATGGAGGCTCAGAGACGTTATGTAACTGGCTCAAGGTCACACAGCTGAGGGACTCAGAATCCCAGGTCTCTCTGATGCCCAAACTCACAGTTTTGACCCATCTCCCTGTTGCCTAAATGTGAAAGCCCATGTCTGTGACCCTCAGATTTCACTTGGTCTTTGGAATGCAGAGTCTTACAACACTGCGGCCAGGAGCTTCACTTGAAAGAAAGAGGCTCCAAGAAGAGCAGGGAACAGCCAGAGGCCCCCCCGAGGGTGGTGACAGGCTAAGTGGGGTACCCTGAAGTTAGCCTCGGTGGGGGAAGGTGGCCCCGAGACAGGCTGGAACCTGGGACCCTTTGCCGCAGGGTTAGCACCTGGCCAGTCATCTCCTCAAGCAACAGGATATAAAGAAACCATAAGGGGACTTCCCTGGTGGTCCAGTGGTTAAGAATTTGCCTGCCAATGCAGGGCACACTGGTTCGATCCCTGGTCCAGGAAGATTCCACATGCCATGGGAGCATTAAGCCCGTGTGCCACAACTACTGAGCCCACGTCCTAGAGCCCGCGCTCCACAATGAGAGAAGCCACCACAAGGAGAAGCCTGCACGCCACCGCTAGAGAGGAGCCTGCATGCAGCAATGAAGAGCCAGGGCAGCCAAAAATAAATGAAACAAAAAGAAACTATAAGGGACAACAAATGACTGCATGCGTGCCCAGCTGGGGCAAATTATAGACAACAAGACACAAAAAAGACCAAAAGAACCCGATTGCCACTTGGAAGAGTTGGGGGCAAAAGCAGGGTACTGCACACGCCCCCGTTCAGAACACCTCCGAAGAGGTGGGCAGACCCCCGAATGGATCCTGTTACTTGTTCTTGCTCCCCTCTGCTGTAGCAGGGGCCCCAGTAAAGCCTTGCCTGAATGTCTTGTCTGGCCTCGTATCAATTTCTATTGATTAAGGGGGCCGAGAACCCTGGTCACTGCCACTCCCAAGGGCCATCACCAAATCCCACAATCAAAGCCCATCTGGGCCCAGCGGCAGCGGGGTTAGTCCTCAAGGAAGCCGAGGCCGCCCCCTCCTGGGTCCTGCACCCACTTCCGGCTCCCAGGGGGAGTGAGTGCGCTCTGCCTGCCCACAGTGGTGTGTTAGTGATTCAAGGTCGCTCTCTCCTCTTCTCACTCCCCCTTTTCAGCCTGAGCAGCCCGACTGATCACGCACGTCCCATCTTCCCCCAACCCCGCAAATCCCCAGCTGAATTCAGATTCAGCTAAAGGAGACTGAAGACCCACTGTCAGCCGAGCACCCCAATAGGTGCACTTGTTGCATCACTTTCCTCGGCCTTTGTGGGGAGGGGTACTGTCATCCCCCTCCTTCCCTTCGGCTTGAGAGTGTGACCTTCAGTTAACTTTCCCGCTCTGTTGCCCTGGAAACCTGACGAAGGCGGCCTGCCCGCTGCATCACGAGGAAAAACTAACTGGGAACCTTGGTCTGCATGCAGAGAACTCCAAACTGCTGACGGGGATGCCCACGTTTGCGGTCTTCCTGAGTGCAGTGACCTTTGTTAGTGGGCGTCTCCTTTGCAGAGACCCTGGAATTGGGGCCTGTGGATTTTTGACAGGAAATCCTGACTCCTCTGAGGCTTCCAGAGCAGGGCGGCGCCCATGGCTGTCCCTGGAGCCCCGTAGAGAAGGTCTCTGGGTGATCGGGTGGACGGTTCCAGGACAGACCCCACAGCAGAGCGATGCTGCCTGCCAGGCTGCAGGCTGTGCCCTGGGGCCCAAGCAGACAAGCGTGGCTTCGCTGGTCTCAGTAGTCTGAAAGTGTAGGAGAAGGTAGAGAGGAGACCCAGTGGGCCTTGCAGGGACATCGAGGCTCAGAGCGGGGAGGTGGTGTATGCCAGGTCACCTGGCAGCAGGCTGGATGCCCAGCCTTGCCCCTTCCCTGGGGTGCTACGGTGGGGCACCTACCTCGGGCCGCACGGGATCCTCGATGCCCACCACACAGATGCAGGTGAGCTCGTTGAGGATGTCGTTCTCGTTGTCCCAGTCGGGCTCGGGGCTGCTGGGGAAGTCACGGTAAGCCACGCAGATGGTACGGAGCCCGTCACAGGCCATGGGCTCGATCACCTTCTTCACCATCTCGTCCCGGTCGCGGGGCCGGAAGACCCGAGGCTCACCTGCCCCGTTGAGGATTTTGCAGCACCTGGAGGAGGCAGGAGTGAGGGTCAGTCAGGTGCAGCCAAGGGCCCGAGGACCCTCTTGCCGATGGGCTGGGAGCTCACCCCCACACCCCAAGTGATGCCCCGCACTGGCCAGGGTTGGTCATCCAGGGCCCGTCCAGTCCATCTCCCATAACGCTTGGGGTGGTCCTGGCCACTGGGCCCCAGGCAGGTTTGAAATCAGCTGCTGCTGCTTGCTGCTTCAGTCGTGTCTGACTCTGTGCAACCCTATCGACTGTAGCCCGTGAGGCTCCTCTGTCCGTGGGATTCTTTAGGCAAGACTACTGGAGTGGGTTGCCATGCCTTCCTCCAGGGGAACTTCCCAACCCAAGAACTGAACTGGGGTCTCCTGCATTGCAGGCGGATTCTTTACCAGCTGAGCTACCAGGGAAGAACTTGAAATCAGGACCAACTAAAAAGAAATCAGGCGGCCTGGTTGCTATATCTGCCCTCAGGCCATCCACCAACAGCCTATCTACTTTGTTTCATTTTCACAAGATTTCATCTGAAAAGGTAGTTTCACAGCTAAAATGGTTTTCAGAGGGCATAAAACCTAGGCGAGGGGTTTCTGACTCCGCCGGTCATATCAAGATGGCTCGGGGGAGCACTGAACAAATCCCCACCTTCGAGCCTCACATCAGAGGTTCCAATTCAGTTTGTCTTAGGCGAGTCGGGGAATCCGCGTTCGTTTGTTTGTTTAGAAATCTCCTTGGGGCTATTCTAATGTGTAACAAGGGTTGATTCCCCTTCAAGGTACAAATGGGAAAACTGGGGTGCAGCGAGGGGGCCTGACTTGCTTAGTTCTCTGAGTTTATTTCTGGCACCTGGAGCTAACAATGAAAATCCTGTTGTCAGAGAAGTGACAGGAGGGGGCGCCAACGCCGATAAGCAGGAGAATTTCCTGATGAGACAGGGACTTAGAGGGGGAAGAGGAAGGACTCTCTGCATGAACATTTAAGAGATTGTTCAGTTGCTCAATCGAGTCCGACTCTTTGCGACCCCATGTACTGCAGCATGCCAGGCTTCCCTGTCCCCCACGATCTCCCAGACCTTGCTCAAACAGGTCCATTAAGTTGATAATGCCTTCCAACCCTCTCATTCTCTGTCGCCCCACTCTCCTCCTGCCCTCTATCTTTCCCAGCACCATTGCCTTTTCCATTTAAGAGGAAACAGCAGCAAAAACCCTGGGCGAGAGATTGCTCAGGTGGTCTTGGGGCTGGGATGCTGGGCAAGGCCCTCCGAGACCCCAGGCGCCCCCCGGCCCCGCCCCCAGCCCCGACCCGGCCTGCGCCAGCCCGCTGCGCAGACCGCGGGTCCCTTACTCACTTCTTGAGCACGATCTCCGAAGCGCCCTTGCTGTACATGCGGAAGCTCTCGTCCGGCAGCTTGATGACGGTGCTCATGGACTTGCGCACGGAGTTGAAGGTGTAGACCTTGTACAGCTTCTCCTCGGGCATCTGAGCGCGCACCGGCTCGTAGTCCTGCTTCAGGTCCAGCACGAAGCCCAGCAGGCCGCACTCCGTCTTGTTGCCCACCTGCCGGGGCAGGGCGCCGTCCTTCTCCGGGGGCTGCGGGGAGAGGCAGGGGGGCTCACTGGGACGGCCACCTGGGCGCTGCAGGGCGGCGGGGCTGCGTGGGGCTGTGTGCGGCTGCTGCCACCGGCTCCCGCACTCTCCGGCCTCCTCTGCATCCCAGACCCAGTCTGGGCTCTTGGATGATGGGAATTAACCAAGATCGGCTTTTTAAGGCTTCAAGCATAAACTGGTGACAGAATTAAAAAAAAAAATGTGCGCAGACTACCCAGCTCTGCAGAACTTGAGGCCTTGTTCACTTCAGATATTTCTTTCTTTTTTTTTTTTTTAAGAAGTCAAGCCTAACAGATCAAGTTGAATCCCCCATGTACCCCTCTGCATAACCCACTCCTTGTCCCACAAGGAAACTCTCACTTAAACTTGGTATTCATCCTTGTCCTCTGTGCTTTAACTTTTTGTTTCGAGATTCATGCCAGATTCTCAGGTGACAAGAAATAATACAGAGAGGTGTCACATGCCCTTCGTCCCCAAGTGCTCACTTCCTGAGCGACTGGACCACAAGAACACAACCAAGGTGTTGACGATGACACAACTGACCCGGCCGGATTCAGATCTCACCAGTTTTAAAGCACTTCTATGTGTGTTTAGGTCTGAACAATGGCATCACGTGTAGATCCCTGTGACAACCATCATCAAGGTACACCACTGTTCATCACAACACTCCCCTGTGCCATTGTGTGTGTGTGTGTGTGTGTGTGTGTGTTTGAGATAACCATTGTAAAAATTTTAGTGTCTTTTTCTATGTGTACATAAATTTTAATAAAATTTAAATTTTACTGTCTATGGTTTGTTTTCCCCATTTATTATAATTAATTTTTATTAATGTAGTTGCTTAACAATGCTGTTAATTTCTGCGGGACAGCAAAGGGAATCAGCTATATGTATAGATGTTATTATTGTTGTTTAGTTGCTAAGTCCTGTCTGACTCCTTGTGACCCCATGAACTGCAGCCTGCCAGGCTTCTCCGCCCATGGGCTTTCCCAGCAAGAATACTGGAGTGGGTTTCCTCCTCCAGGGGATCTTCCGTATGCGTGCGCTCCCTCTTTTTTGCACTCCCTTCGCATTCAGGTCACCACAGGGCACTGAGTGGGGTTCCCTGTGCTACACGGTAGGTTCTCACCGGATACCTATTTTGTACGTAGATCAACGCATGGGTATGTCAATCCCAGTCTCCCAATTCTTCCCACTCCCCGCCCCCTTGGTGTCCACATATTTGTTTTCTAAGTCTGTGTCTCTATTTATGCTTTGCAAATAAGATCATCTATACCATTTTCCCAGATTCCACATATATGCATTAATATATATTTTCTGACTCACTTCCCATGCTGCCCTTTTGTGACTGTGCTCATCTCTCTCCCTTCCCCCTCCCTACCCCCTGGCCATTCCTAATCTGTGCTCTAGCTCTGTAATTCTGCCACGTTGTGCAAGTTATATAAATGGAATGGTACAGTATGTAACTTCAGAGACTGGCTGCTTTTCACTCAGCACAGTCCCCCAGTTATTCATGCAAGTTGTTGCATGCATCAGCAATGTGTTCCTTTTCACGGCTGGGTGGTATTCTATGTTCTGAATGTAACATCTTTTGTGACTTCAACTGAGGTTGAACCAAATGCAATTGCTAATGTGTCACAGTGGCCAATCGTTGGAAATTTCATGTAGTTTAACTTACTGTCTGTATGTGGGTTCTGTTTTACAAGTTGCAAAGGTCAGGTAAGGAGGCTATACACATTCTTCTGTAACTTGCTTCATTCTCATAAACATTCAGTTTTTGAGTTATCCCCACTTAGGGCACTAGTTTGTTCTTTTTTTTTAAATTGGAATATCATTGTTTTACAATGTTGTGTTAGTTTCTGCCATATATGAACTGAATAAGCTATATGCATACATATATCCCCACTCTCTTGAACTGCCCCCCCACACCCCCATCCCACCCCTCTTGGTCATCACGGAGCACCGAGTTAGGCTCTCCATGCTACATAGCAGCTTCTCACTAGCTATTTATTCTACATATAGCAGTGGACATATGTGGATGGATCTAGAGCCTGCCATACAGGGTAAATCAGAAAGAGAAAAACAAATATCGTATATTAACGCACGTATGTGGAATCTAGAAAAATGGTACCAGTGAAGTTACCTGCAGGGCAGGAACAGAGACACAGACCTGGAGAAGGGACATGTGGAAACAGTGGGGGAAGAGGAGGGTGGGATGAACGGGGGGTTTGCTCCTTCCTAACTGGGCCGCATGGACACTGCAGCCTCTGCCCTGAGCCGCAGTGACACCACCGACCACGTCTCCCCAGCGCCTCCCGCTTCCTCATGAGGCTGCTGGGACACAGTGTTGTTCCTCCACCCTGTCCCCGCAGCCCTGCCGCTCCTGTTCCTTGCCCTGCTAGGCAAACTGCCCTCACCCTTTAAGGACCAGCACAGAATCTCCTTGTCTTTGCAAATGACTTTGTCACCCTCTGAGTAGGAGCTGTATTCTTCCATCCCCTGCCCAGGTTCTCAGGGCCAGCATAGAGCCCGGCACCCAGTAGGTATTTACTCATTGTTTGCACGATGGCTCAATGCAGACCAGTCTTGGGGGCGGGGGGTGAGAGGCACAGGTGAATAGGTACGCACAAGAGGCTGCATATGAGTGCTGATGGTAGGATTAGCAGGTGGCTGTGGGAAGTTTACATGGCAGGTGGACTCAGCTCCCACAGCCTCCCCCACCCCCCGCCCCCCACCACACACGCAGACCACCTGTATAACCCAGGTGGAGGTGGCTTTAGGAGCACTAAGAGCAGTCAGGGATAAATGCAGACCCCAGAGAGACACTGAAGAGGAACCTCGTCTATGAACATTCTGTGTCCCCTCTCCCACCCCACGGGTGGGTCTTTGTGGGTCTCAGACCAGCCTCGCACAAGAGCCCTCTGAACCCTCACCGTCAGCCTCCTTGGTGTTGCTCCTACGAGCAGCCCAGGTAAGAGGAAGGCAGACCCCAGAGGATGCTGGCACGGATGGGCTGGCTGTGAAGATGGCAACAGGACCTGTCCCTGGCCACCCTCCCACCCCTCCACAGCCAGGGCTCAGGCCCCGGGAGCAGACCTGAGGTGCTGCGGGTCACGGGCACTGATCTCACCATACATAGCCATAGACCCTAAGCTGTCATCCTCAGGGTCCCCGCCTGTAACATGGAAAGGTGGAGTAAATGATTTTCAGCTGAGAAAAAAATCAACCCACTCCTTCAAGTGCACCGTGGGCCGTAGTGAAGGATGGTAGAACAAGGCAGAGCTGCGGGTTCCTCCGAGGGGCCTGGGGCCAGTGGGCCCAGCCAGAGAATACCCTCCTGCTCCATGCCACATCCGACTAGGTTCCAGCACTGCGGGCCTTGGAAGGCTCCCCACTCCCACACTCTGTGGATGTGACTTGAAAGCAGGAGAATCTGACAGCTCCCTCTTTCTGATGTTTGGGAAAAGAGACATTAAGCACTCTTCTTAGTCTCTGCAGCATGCGGTTATGTGTGCTTTGAAAATTTACATATTTATTTACTTTTTTTTTTTTACAATTTTATAATTAACCTTCTGGTGATTTCCAGAGTTTTATGTCTTTCACAACGGTTCCCCCCGCCCCTTGCTTATGAAAGAAGATGATGACACGGAGGACTGAAATAAAAATGGCTAATTACTTATTTGCCCAAGAGAGCTGAGCAGTTATGCCTGCAAACACACAGCATTTTATTACCCTCTGTGAAATATTTTAATTTTCCCCTAAAAGGATTTCAAACAATCCATGGCTGCAAATGGCAGAGCTGGCTCCTCCGTAATTCAATTTGTTCCCATGAACTTGAGCTCTGAAATCGCCTACGTGTATTATTAAGAAGTAGGGATTTGCCCCTTTTTTCTTTTGGTTTTTTTTTTTTTAAATCTCAACAAACCCATAGGTTTTGTTATTACTGTGGACTTCCCAAGAGCCTTTGCTCTCCAGGGCTCTAAGTCTGTAAGAGAGTTAAGGCATTGGTTTTGGCAAGCCTGGGGGGAAGTGATTTGCTACCGGTCAAAGACCTCCTGCAAAGACTGGTCAAAGGCCTGGGGCTGCCTCCAGTTGCTTCCGTCCCCAGTGCAGTGCTGCTTCCTGCACATGTCCCTGTATGAGCACTAAGCCCTTTGGGGGTGCTGGGTGCAGCTCACTTTGGGTGAGCGTAACGTTGAGAGTGCAATTCATGCTCCTGTTTTGGGATGCTTGGGAGTGACTGGAGCTCAGAAACAAGGCATGATGACCCGAAGGGCAGCAAGTTATAAATAACATCTTCAAAAAGGAGATTTAAAAAAATACAGCGAGCAGGTACCACTTCACACCCGTGAGGACGCCGTTATCAAAAACAAAATAGGAAACAAGTGGTGGCAAGGATGTGGAGAAATTGGAACCCTTGTGCACTGTTGGTGGGAATGCAGAATGGTGCAGCTACTGTGGAAACCAGCATGGAGGTTCCTCCAAAATTAAACATGGAATTACCATACAATCCAGCAGGTTTACTTCTGGGTATATACCCAAAAGAATTGAAAGCAGAGACTTGAGAAGATATTTGCATACCCACGTTCACAGCAGCATTGTTCATAGTAGCCAAAAGATAGAAGCAACCCAACTGTCCGTCAACAGATGAACAGATAAGGAAGATGTGATCTACACATACAGCGGAGGGTTATTCAGCCTTAAAAAACGAAGGAGATTCTGATACATGTTACAACATGGATGAACCTTGAGGACACTATGCTAAGTGAAATAAGCCAGACATAAAAGGACAGATACTGTGTGATTCCACTTATACGAGGTCCCTAGAGCAGTCAAATTCATCGAGACAGAAAGTAGCAGGGTGAGTCCCAGGGGCAGGGGGAGAGTGAAGGGGAAGAGTTTAAAGGGAACAGAGTTGGGGAAGATGCTAAGTTCTGGATGTGGGTGATGGGGATGGTTGTACAATGTGACTGTACCTAATGACA